TCCTGGCCCAGATGTTGTGATAGTTCTCTGCAAGCAGTTCCGCCATTGACTGCAAAACACAACATTTGACTGTTGTATTGCATAGGTCCGGTCATTCTTCAATTCTCATAACAAATTGAGAAGTTTATTGGTATCAGCGTGCACTTATGTCATGTTTTGACAAAAAATGTTAAGTGTACCTGTGTGTCTCTGGACAGAGTAACATTGCTCATATCAATGGGTCTCGGATTGAAAGACTGAGCTCCTTCGAAGGACAGCTGAGGAACAAATGATTATTGTTTTGTTATTAAAAAAGCTTTTCTTAATTCATCCAGTTTCTAAACTTGCTTATCCTGTTCAAGGTCGCAGGACGCTGGAGCCTATCCCAGCTGTCTTGGGGCGAAATCCAGACAACACTCTGGACTGGTCAACAGTCAATCACAGGCAACTATTCTAAATGCTCACATTGTTTTGAATAACATATACTGGTTGACAGATTTTTTTTTTTCTGAGTGTTTTATTGTTCTTGAAGCCACATTAAACAATCAGTCAGATAAAGACATTTTTTTCTTTCACAGAGGATAGGCTCAGCAATTGCTAGCATATGTGTTTATTTGGTTGTTTCAAGTAGTCGATCCTCAATTCTTTGTACGAAGCTCAATAAAGGGGTGGAGATGACAAATCAATTCGACCAATGTGTGACCAGCAGGTTGAAGTCACCGATATTGAATCTGGAGAGCCTGCTGAAACACTGGCAATTGTTGTTTTATGATTCATGAAAAACTTCTTATCGCTCCAGAGAGTACGGTAAGAAAGAAAAAGCAAAGTAAAATGTCCCCTCAAAATGTGAAAAAGGAATAAACACCCAAGTAATGGCTGAATGCAAACCATGCAAGGCGCAAAATATATGATGACTATGTTCGGTGGCGCTGGGTATGTAATAGTATTGTTGGATGTACTATCTTGTCTAACGTACTACACCAGCTATAAATGTCCTGGAAACGTCCAGAAAATGTTTACCTGGCTGGCAAGCGATATCCTCCTAGATTTGCTGGCAGGGTCACTCTCTCGTATTCTGTTGATACTCCACCCCCAAGAAAGCATGGTCTTGAGAGACTCTCTGATTGGCCAACAATAGAACTCTTTATCCTAAAGCAAATAAACCAACACGAGACCAGATCAGGTTTTCTCTAAATACAGAAATATGGAACAATTCCACGTTGAAAAGTATTTTCATGTGACATCCTGTGTTGACACTTAAATTGACATTTGAAGCATTTTCCGACCATTCTACAACTATTTTTTTAGACAAAAGCACTTTTATATTCAGCATCCA